GACATTCCTTAAAATCGATGAAATTTTTAAATTTTGGTTGAATCTCTGGCGGAGTTTCCTAAAGAAAAATAAGAGCTTTTCTGTCTAAAGAGAAAGGGGCTGGCTTTCTAAAGAGAAAAGTTGGGAATTACCTTTTATACAGAGCCAAAATGATAGCGTTTTCGCAACCCAAGATCCATGCGCTAACTTGTTGACCTGCGTTTTGACCATATCGAATCGTAATATTTTTTTTTTCAATTTTTTTTATTTTTTTTATTTTTTATTTTTTAACTTATTTTATTTTTAATTTTTAATTTTTTATCTTTTTTTGAGAGATTTTCATAAAATTTGTTTTTGTTTACAAAAAATAAAAAAATCTTTTAGTGAATTAAAAAAAAAAAAACAAACAAAACAAAAAAAAAAATCTTTTTCAAGTAAATTTTCAAAAAAAAAAAAATCTTTTTAAGTTTTTTAGAAAAAAAAATCGTTTCAATAAATAACAAAAAAAAAATCCTTTTTCAATCCTTACAAAATAAATTTATGAAATTTTATCAAACTATTGAGAAATTTTAATGGAATTCACCAAACTATTGAAAAATTTCATAAATCAGTTTTTAAAATATATATATAATAAAAAAATAAAAAAATAATTTTTATCATCTAAACTATTGGAAGATTGCTTTGAAGTAAATCCTACAAACTATTGGGAGATTTATTAACTTTTTTGAAATAAGATAAATAAATAAATCCGACGAAAGAGCCTCTTTAAAATGAAACACTAATCTTTATAAATATTCCTGAGGTAAAAAAATTATCTAAAATTGCTACAAAACTATTGAAACAATTTCAAGATTAATTTTTAATATTAAATTATTTGATAAATCAAAAAAATGATCAAAGTTTGGATAATTTAAATTAAATTAATACCATCTTTGAATGGACGTTATGGGAGCGCTACAATATTTTTTATGAGTAACCGACTCTTGAACCTAACATTTATTTTCGTAGATCAAAATATGTTTAAGGTAACCAATTATATATAAACAAAAAAAATTAATAGTGATTGTTTTTATTCATGTCTGATGGTAGATCCATAAATTTATATGTTATAATAGATTTTATTAAAAAAATAATTTTTTTAAATAATCAATTATACTTAACTAAAAAATTTTGATGATGATTTCATTTTTTGTGTATAACGATTGAATCTCTCAAACGAAATTCGTTATGACATATTTCCTCCTTTCCTAAACGCAATGTTTATTTGCATTCTGATTTGTTTTTAAATTAATAAAAAATACGAAATTCGTTATGACATATTTCCTGTTTTCCTAAGCGCAATGTTTATTTGCATCTGATTTGTTTTTAAATTAATAAAAAATTTGAACTAGCGGCATCGCGCAGGTTCATTTCTAATTATTTATATAAACGTTGCAAAATTGCACATGTGGTACCCTTTCGGTTTTCATTTTTGAAAAATTTTTTTGGTGAGTCACACCAATTTTTTTAATTTTTTTTAAGAATGTGCGACCAACATCCTTTTTGGTTTTTTAGTGGTGGGACTCACTCTTTTTTTCTTTTAAGTTGTGGAACACATGTTTAAACATTTTATACTTTTTTTTTTTTAATTAGTGGAACCCACCCTTTTTTTTTTAATTTTTAGAAGGTGTGGGGCCATCTACATCGATTTTTTGTGCAGAACGCACACTTAGATTTTTTTCACTCGTTTTTTTTCTTTTTCTTTCTTTTGTAGTTTATTTATTTATTTATTATATTTAATAATTTAAAAAATAAAAAGTATATCTTTTAAAGATTTTTTTAGACTCACTTATGTCAAATATATTTTTGACGTTTTTCTACTTCTTCATTGTTTAATTTTTTTCAAAGAAAATTTATTTTCTATTTTAATTTTGTTTTGAAACTTACTTGCTATGAAAAGTAAGCTACATGTTTATTTTTTAATTTTTATTTTTACATAATTAATAAATATTTTTTTTTTTTTGTAAAACCCACTTTGTATCAATAATTTACAACATATCAAACCATTTGATTTTTTTTTCATTTCTTTATTTTTTATTTTTTTCTATTAACTTTTTTTAATATTTAGTATTTTTTTTTATTTTGGCTTTTTTAATATGGGCCATTTGATATTATTATTAGAAATATATGTTTGATCTTTTTTATTTTTTTAATTTGATCATTTTTAATGAAAATTATATTAGTGGATATGTAGGCATCACATCCAAATTTGATTTTTTTTTCTTTTTTCTAGGGTTTTTTTTTTTATAATTTGTTTAGTTTTGTTTTTTAATTAATAATATAAATTTTTTTTGAAAAAAGCTTATTATTGTTAATATCGCTTGCGAACTCAATTTTTTAAAAACTTTTCATCTTTTTTTCTCTTTTCTAATTTTTTCCTTCTTTTTTTTTTTTAAATTTAGATAATTTCTTATATAGAAGAATGAATGTGTATACATGGCGCCTAATTTTGTTTTTTTTGCCTTTCACCTTTTTTGTTTTTAATTTTTTTTAATTACAAACATTTCTCAACAAAAAATATTAGTAAATCAATTTTTGAAGAAAAATGTCAATATGCGTATATATGACAAAATACTTATATTTGATGAATTTCGATTCATTTGGATTCAATTGATGTATTTTTTAAAAAAAATTTGAGATTGAATCAAATTTTTTTCAAAAATTGTGGTTAACTCAAAAATGACTTTAAAGTATTTTGTCCCATCTAAATATATAAAAATATGTTTTGTTATTCATTTCATTTTATATTTATATATCAATAAAATTATTATTTAATGTCTTAATTTAACAAATTTACATGTCATTTCCATTTGTGTTCCTTTACTTTTTTTTCATTATTTCCTTTATATATTTTTTAAATTATCTTATTTTAAATTAGATTAATTTTGTAAACAAAAAAAGAATAAGAGATGATAAAATAATTTATATCCTGGATTTCTATTTTACTTGAACCAATATGTGCCTTCTTTTTTTTTTTTTTTTTTTTTTCATTTGATATTAGATTGATGTATGCTTTTTTTTAAAATTGTGGTCGAATTGAGTAGGAGTTTAGGGTCTTCTGTCATGCTTCAAATATATATATAAAATTTTATTTTTAATTATTGATTTTATTTTATATTTATATATTATTATATAATAAAGTTATTTTTCAATATCATTGTGTTAATACAAATATTATATTTATACATAATTAACGTTTGGGGATTGTACTGAATAGTAAATAAATAGATATCCGTTATTATTTGATCTATTTATATCAGATTCAGATAATTATAAATGAATAATTAATAAATTTAGATAAAAAATTTATCATTCATTATATTGAATTCAAAGTGGACACGAATAGTATCTTCTAAATATTTAATATTTAAATTCTTTTAAGTTTTAGTGAATAATAATAGATATTTAAATTTGTATCGAAATTTGTTATTCATTTACATACGTAAAATATACAAAATTTTATGTTTATAGAAAATTTTAAATTTTAAAAAATAAATTTTATTTATTATTAATTAAGAATGAACTTAAATTTTAAATTAAAATTTTGTTTAATTTATATTTTGAAAAAAATTTAAATAAATAAATATTTTAAAAAATTTAAAAATTTAAATGGATAATATTTATTTAAATGGATTTGGATTTGGACAGTGACAATGCTTTGTTTCGAGAAAAGTGGGTTCGTGTGCTTTGGTAAGAGAATATTTAATTGTGTATAACAATTATATTATCCGTACATTTTTATCCAGAAATGGATTCTTGCACCATGGACTGATTATACCTGCATCCAGTGACACAGTGTGAACCTTGTTTGGATTTTTCTTAACTCTGTCGAATAACTATCTGTGAAATTCAAGTTTTCATGTTATTAAAAACTTTTTGTATGTTCTTCATAAATGCATCAATGCAATGACTTCCATGCTCTTTGACAGGGCAAACTCTGTTTTTACAGGACTTATCATATCACCAAATTCTGATCGGTGCTAGTCATATTGATCTAATCCACATCATAATAATTTTAATATAATTAATTTATCAATTATGCATAATTAATTTTTGGCTTCTTTGTAACCATAATTAATTAATATCCACATAATAATTATTCACTTGTGACTTAAAAGCCAATTTCTAGGAAATGACAAAATATGTTTGAATTATTTACTCGCATTTTTTTATTGACGGGGAAAGGAAGGTTTTAACTTAATTACTACTTGATCTAAAGGACAAAACTTACCTAAAATTATTTAGGTAAAATTTGTAAAATTTTTAAAAAAAGATAATTTAATAAAAATTTTAATAAAAAATTTAAATCGATAGATTGACAGAGTTTAATATGAAAATTAATAATATGTTAAAAATTATTAAAAATATTATTTATAATTTAAATTTGATCAATAGGTAAAAATTTTATTAATATTTTAATTAAAAATATTTATTTAATAAATATATAAAAATTCATTAATTTTTTTTTTAAATTTTATATGCTTGATCTATGTGATGAGATCTTTTAATCTATCAATTTTATTTTTTATTTATTCATTTTTAATAAAAAACTTCATGATTTCATTTATAAAATTTTATGTAATTTTTTTCTTGATCCAAATGCTTCTTAAAATTAATATGAAAATTTCAATCTTGATACAAATAAAGAATGATTTTCCTTTTTAATAAATGAAAAGCAAAATAATAACCCTTTTTCAATTTTTTTTAACATATTATTTATCTTTTCAGTGAACTCTGTCTGTAGGTTTTTTATTAAACTTTTTATTGGATTGTTTTAGAACTTAATCTGACTCTTCTCTAAACTCAAAAGACGTATGATCCCACGTAAGCTGTGTTACCCCTGAAAGTTTAAGTCATTCGTGTGTTTATATATATTGCCCAGCTAATGTTAATATTCATAGACTCTAAAAAATATTCATAAACTATACTTCGTTTTCAGTAGTTTCCGATTATGGAGGTGGTTATATTACTAGGTAGGATGATATATAGCTAGCTCAGCGAGTGAGTTCACCCAAACACTTCAAATAATTATGAGTTCCTTGCCTAATAAGACCTTCTCTGGGGAGCAGCAGCAGCTAGACCTGGAGGATTCCGGTCGAACTGAGAGAGCACAATGGTTGATTAATTCACCCGAGCCTCCTAGTTTATGGCAGGAACTTGTTGGTGCTGTCAGAGGAAGTGTCTTTACTCATGGAAGAAAGGACTTCTCATCGACCAAAGGGAGATGTGCCATGTCATTCCTCCAAGGTCTATTTCCAATCCTCAGCTGGGGAAGGGCATACAATGCTTCAAGATTTAAAAAAGATTTAATGGCGGGTTTAACCCTTGCAAGCCTTAGCATTCCTCAGGTATAGATTATAGCTCATTTGTCTCCTATGTTTCTACGCGTTTCTTTTTTTTTTCTTACTCACCGTACTTTTTACAGAGTATTGGATATGCTAATTTAGCGAAGCTTGATCCTCAACATGGCCGGTGTAAGTTTCTGAAAGCTAAGCTTTTTTATTATGCTTGAAGTTTCAGAAGAAAATTTTGTGTTTTCCTGTAAAGCAGCCTGTAAACTTTCTATGGTTGATGAAGAAAAAAGAGAAGCTAAATCTGTATTGTTCCTTATTATTGATATTTTACTTTCTGTTTTGGGCTTGTTTCATCTAGACTCTAGTGTCGTCCCACCTCTTATTTATGCGTTAATGGGGAGTTCAAGGGAGATAGCTATCGGACCAGTAGCTGTGGTTTCAATGCTGCTGTCTTCAATGATTCCAAACACGGTGGATCCTGCAGCTGACCCCATTGGGTACAGAAGGCTAGTGTTCACTGTGACATTCTTTGCTGGAACTTTCCAAGCCATATTTGGATTGTTTAGGTAGTGAATCGTTTTGAAGTGCAATTTACATTTTCCTGTGATCAACGCACATTTTCTTCTCAGACAAAAAGGTTTTTGTCTGATATTTACAGATTGGGCTTCCTGGTGGATCTTCTTTCACATGCTGCAATTGCTGGATTCATGGCGAGTGCCGCCATTGTCATAGGCCTTGCAACTGAAGGGGCTATTTGGAATGAGTCACTTCACCACTAAAACCGATGTGGTATCAGTCTTGGGCTCGGTTTTCAAATCAGTTGAACATGAAGTAAGTTGTACAGAACCTATTCCCATCTTAAGCCTTCATTTTGTTTGCGATAAAAAAAAAATTCAACTTTGCACCCATCATTTGAGTATGATTGCTAAAATTGATGCGTCTCCAAGTTGGAATCTTTTGCTTCCGTAATGTTCATTTTCTGTTTGTCAAAACTTTTTAATATTCTAATCTCACCCTTTCTGCCTTTCTTGAACAGTGGTATCCTCTTAATTTCGTCCTAGGTTGTTCATTCCTTGTATTCCTCCTAGCCGCCAGGTTTATCGTAAGTAATCAAATTCTTGCTTCCCTATAGTAATAATTTCTGTTTGATTTGTTAGTCTAAAAGCCCTGTCTGTTTTTAGGGAAGAAGAAACGAAAAACTCTTCTGGTTCCCAGCAATCGCTCCTCTATTATCAGTCATATTATCTACCCTGATAGTATATCTTACCAAGGCAGATAAGCATGGGGTGAAGATAGTAAAACACATAAAAGGAGGCATCAATCCAAGCTCACTCCACCAGTTACAGTTTAACAGCCCACATGTTTCAGAAGCAGCCAAAATTGGGTTAATTTCTGCTGTTGTTGCTCTCACTGTGCGTAATTACTTTTCATTCCCTTTTTTTAAAAATTATTATTATTATTATTATCATCTCTGACAAAATAAAATCGGGGTTAGCTTGCTGAAGGTAATTCCATTTAAATTACATTCATATCAGGAAGCCATCGCTGTTGGCCGATCATTTGCTTCAATCAAAGGATACCATTTAGATGGGAACAAGGAAATGATGGCCATGGGTTTCATGAACCTTGCAGGATCTCTAACTTCTTGCTATGTGGCCACTGGTAAGCTAATGAGGCCGATAAATTATTGCCATTGTTCAAATGTAATTATGAAATAATAATGATCCACTGCCTTTTTATAAAATAAAAATCGTTTTTCATATGCATTGGCAGGTTCATTTTCTAGGACTGCTGTGAATTTCAGCGCAGGCGACTGTGGTGTCAAATATAGTTATGGCCATTACAGTTTTGTTGTCATTGGAATTGTTTACCAGGCTCTTGTATTACACTCCAATGGCCATTCTTGCTTCCATCATTCTGTCTGCACTTCCTGGACTTATTGACATTAATGAAGCTTACTACATCTGGAAGGTTGACAAACTAGACTTCCTAGCTTGCAGCGGCGCCTTCATTGGAGTCTTGTTCACATCGGTGGAGATTGGTCTTCTAGCTGCGGTAATTTCTTATCGTTTTCTTTATGCCTTCAACAAAATGATTATCAGAGACAACTACCCATTTTCACATCACATTGGTAAAAATGTATAGGACCTTGCATATCTTACCATTATTGATGAATAATCAATTGCATCATCAGGCAGATAAGCAGGAAAGGTAGGCTTCAGCTAGAGAATCACCTGCATTTACCCATAATTATCTTTTGATTAGAAAAATCTTGTACCTAACCAAGAAACTGACCTGGAGCAATCACACAAGTATATTATAAATTTGTTGCCTGCTGAAAACTTGTGAATATGATCTATGGATCATGCTATGTTATTTCAAATATTCAATGCCCGAATTGAAAGAATTAAAACTCCCGAGACTTGTGGGTTCCATCTCATAATTGAGCTTGATAATTCGGCCTCCACAAAATTATAAAATCAGAAAGTCTGAAACTCACACCCTTTGGAAACAAATAATTTTTCCAAGATTTATGGACCCCCTAGTTTTGTGGCCTGTTTTCTACTGCATGCATCAATTAATCACTTTCTGCCAGCTATTTGAATGAGTAGATCGCATTGCATCCACACTTGCATGTAAGCTATTGGAGGTTATAATCATAAAAGACACAAATAAATTGGATCTTTCTGAAAAATAGTACTAATACAATTTGCAGAAACACAGTTATGATAAAGGACCTCTATAAATGTTTCCACTGTAAGTGGACTTCTAATGTCGGTTGCTAGAAGCCTTAGATTAAGGTTATTTTTGTGCTGAATGTATGTTTAACAGAATCCATTGAGTAATGATAACGAAAATACTGTTATTCGGGTTTAAGTAAGGCAGTTCAAAGAGGGGAATTTGGGTAAAGATCTCTAAGTTTCTCCTCTTCTATCAAGAGAACAAGAAAAATCTTGGTGTATGACACTATAAACTCAGTTTTAATTTTACATAGCAATAATTTCATTAGAGCTACAAGTTTGACTCAACTACTCTTAACCCACTTTAGGTGGCATTCATTTTCCATACCAACAATTCCACAAACTTCATGTATAATTATTGTTGAAAACTTACTCAAATTTCTAATATGCAGTGGTTCAGTAAACTCCACAGAAAAGTAGAAACGCACAAATTGATTTTGTGTTAACTGTAGAACTCACCGTGTTTGAAAGTTAAGGAATGACATAGCTCATCCTTCTTACAATTGCATGTAAAATTGGAAGAGGCACCAATTGTTCCTAATCGGGAAATTTTCCATAAATTGCAGGTAACTATTTCATTTGCGAAAATATTATTGAATTCCATTCGACCAGCCGTTGAACCACTTGGAAGACTTCCAAGAACTGATATTTTTTGTGAGGTTGATCAATATCCCATGGCCATTAAAACTCCAGGCATCATGGCACTTCGTGTAAACTCTGGCCTACTTTGCTTTGCTAATGCCAATTTTCTCAGAGAAAGGTAAGTGTAAATGCAATTCAAAAGAGAAGGAAAGGTGGCTCCAATTTGAGTCAACAATATAAAATTGCATTCCTTGTTTCAGAATAGTGAGGTGCGTGAATGAAGAGAAGGAAACAAAAGAAACTGCAAAAGACAGTGTTCAAATCTTAATCCTCGACATGTCCAGTGAGTTTAATCATCTTACAGGTTCAAAATCAACAAAAAAAAACCTATAGACTTAAGTGGTTCTCCTTCTGTGACAGATGTGATGAACATAGACACTTCCGGAATTCGGGCACTGGAAGAACTGCACAAGAACCTGGTTTCACTAGGCATAAAAGTAAGCTTATTGCACCTTGATTTTGATCTTTATAAGTATATTCCTGAATTATATAATCTACAACTTCAAATTATTGCAGTCGGCAATGGTGAATCTAAGGTGGCTCGTGATCCACAAGCTAAAGCTAGCAAAATTTGTGGAGAAGATTGGAGCAGAGTGGATTTTCCTCACTGTTGGTGAAGCTGTAGATGCATGCCTTGCTTCCAAATTAGCAAGCACCAGCAACTGCTAATGGCTTCATATCATCTACTAATGTAGCCAGCCGGGTTTCGATTTTCCATATCAGTTCTTGATTAATTATTTTTAATCAAGAACTTCACTAAAAAAATTTGAATAAAGTTTGTCCACATGGGCTTTAATGTAGCCTTTGTGCATGCTAATAATTGGTTACTTTAATTTGTATTGGTTTGATCAAGGGAAGGAAAGTTAGAAGTTGCTTTTGTTATATCTACGTGAAAGATGTTGTATTATATATATATATATATATGCTTGCACTTTTTTATTTTTAAAAATTGCATAATATATAGATTGAGTTTCTTGGCTTTTATTCGCTTCGCAACACTAGTATATATATATATATGCTTGCAATTTTTTATTTTTAAAAATTGCATAATATATAGATGGAGTTTCTTGGCTTTTATTCGCTTTGCAAATCTAGGTCTATGCCCCGATTTTTTTTAAAAATTATTCTAATAACTGAATTGATGCATAATTTTTACTCTTAAATAACCTTAAGGAATAAATCAAATGCATTGTTTTATTAATTCGCTTGGGAGACTACTTGAATTAAAACATTTTATATTAAAATTATATAATAATTTTTCTTAAAATGCATTAAAACAAATAAAAAAATAGTCCCAAATGTTAAACATAAAATCTAAAACTAATTAATAATAAATAAAATGATTCAATCTGAATATAAAATTACATAATTTTGAGATTTAAAAGAAATAAGATAACATCATTTTAAAAAACTCTATAACAAATAAGTGAAGTCAAAAGCTTATCACATTATAGATTTAAAAGCAATAATGGATAAGATGCAAGAATAATATAACAAAGCTAAGAGATAATATCAAATTAAACATCTTACCATAACTAATTGATAATAGATAGATGGACATAAATTGAATATAATATCACATAAAAACTCAAAGTTTAACGAATGTAACATAATATCACTTTAATGACAAGAATTATTCAATTTATTCAATATTTAAAAAGAAATCAATCATTGATAAATAGCTCTTTCATTCAATAATTTTCAAATTCATATACCATGTCACTCAATTGAATAAGGGTAAAATACACCACTAGTCACTTAATTATATATATGTTTTTAACATGATAACTTAACTATTAATTTTTTTAATTTAATCACTTAATTTTGAGTAAGTACTTTTTTCTTATCACTTATTCTCTAATGATGTGTCGATGTAACACTACTATATCATTAAACCAATCACATAGCATTACTGATAGTTGACGTTGTAGATGATGTGGCAATACTACGTAGCACCTGATTATTGATATAATATTACCATGTTAGTACGTCATTAGAGATTAATGTTTGGGTGATCAAAAAAGATATTTACTCAAGATTAAATTAAAAAAATTAATACTTAAGTAATTATTTTAAAAACATGACCATAATTTAATAACCAATAATATATTTTACCTATTGAATTAATACGTAAACCAATTTACGTGGAATGCATTTTTTTTTTTTGGGTAAAAGAATTAAATTTATCTGTCAGAACATTAAAAATATAGAATATTATGAAAAGTATAATTATTTTTATATATTGGAAAAATAAAAAATAAAAAAAGAAGTTGTAAAATTTCCAAAATGTTGTCGTTTGAAGCCAAGGCAAGCAACAAACATACTTGAGAAACTAAAGCACGAGTTCTAGGCTTTGTTTGGGAGAAAAGAAAAAAAAAATAAAAGCAAAAATAAGGAAACGAAAAGCAAGAGAACAAGCGATCAAATTGATTACGGAATCCCAATTCCTCGCTTGGAAGCGCCAAAAGGTCTTTCTTTCTCTACTTTTCATTTATTAATCGTTGATTTTTCATATGCCTAATTACTTAGTCAACTCTTGTACTCGCTAAATCAATGCACTATTGATTATCACGTTACTATCAAGGAAGATCAACGACCAAGTTCTTTGCCATCACACAGTTTGCCTTCCAACAGTTGCAAGCCAACCTGGAGTTCCTCGTCTTTGTAGAGATAACTCGCCTAACACCCCTCAACGTTTCATCAACGGATCACATCACGATAATTTAACTTATCTAAAATGTAATCTACTCCAACCCACTTACACCTTTCTTGAGCTCCACGTGAGTTTTTCATTAACTATCACATACTCATGTCATGCTAGTGCCCTATATCTCATATAGGAGGTAAACGAAGATTCAGATACACTATTATGAAATCTTTATCTTTGAGCTTCTTGGATACTCTTTGCAATTCATCTTTTTCCTCATTAAACCTAATCTCATACATCTGGCTAATTTTAGCGTTAGTGCATGACTCGGAAATCAAACTCTGAAGCTTTTTTATCGTATTTTCTTTGCTGCAAGTCTGAATGCTCACCTTCTAACTCATCCTCCAACTCACCTTACCCAAAATACCCTAAAAAATTTTCTTTCTAACTATTTATCTCAATTAGGTTTCTACATAGTTGTCACTTTCTTATTAAATTTTCACTCAATTTCCAATAAATCGCATTTATGCCTTATAATTAAAAACTATTAGAACTAAGCAATGAATTATTTAAATTTACCACTATTGGGCCGAGTCTTAATAAAATAAAGTTTAATTTCCTTAATTTTTATATTGTTTGTCTGAATGTAATTATCAGTTTTTTAAATGATAATTCATTTGAAAATTTACAGGATGCAGATGCATCAGCTCTAAAAGCTGAGGCAGCTAGGAAACATGTCAAAGATATAGCAATCAGAACCAAGATTTCAAATAACGGTTATATAGCAGAATAGCAGCCGCGAAATTATGGTAACGCTACCACCTACCATCATTATCAGAGAAAATATGGTTGAGAAATTGAATCACACTTAATGGTACGTAACGGCCTCTAAAAAATGGTGTAACAAAAAATAACGACAATAACAGACCGTTATTGACGCTATTCTCGTTTTCTTAGTCACCGGTTTAAATTAAAAAAAAAAAAACTTCAATTGACGATAACCCTAACTCAATCCACAAATTACTCAAATTCAAATCAATCTCAATTCTTAAATCAATAATCAAAATCAAAGAAGATAAGAAAAAGTTAAATTATTATTTTTTTTTTTTGTAAAATTTATGTAAAATAATGTTGATCTTTATGATAATCTAAGAGAGATAAGATCGAGATACTCTGTAGGCAATGACATTGATGAGAGTATGCGAGAGAGAGTGACAGATGCAGAGAGAGAAAAATAAGGAGTAAAACAAGACATTAAGAAGAGTTGAGGATAAAGGTTTTTGCCTTTTTGGTTATCAAAATTTTGGGAAAATTTTGGAAGAGGGGGCTGTCTGTTACTAAGGGGGACGCACAGGTGTTGAGTGGGGTGGATGGGTGTGTTTTTATTTATTTAATTTTGTAATTAATTTTATTAAAATTAAATTTAAAATTTTGTAATTTTTTAAAATTATATATATATATGGATTTTAGATGAAAAATTTTAATAAATTTTTTTTGTATAAGTTAGATGAAAAATAATTAAAATTAAATATTATAATTTGATTTTGTTATTTATTAATTTATGATTTTGTATTTGAAATTTAATAATTTTTTTATTATTTTGGTATTTATATTGTTGTCAATTCTTTGGTTATTAGATTAATTCTTATTAATTTATAACTATAGTTGATGAAATTTAAAATTATTATATTTTTAAGTTTGTAATTTTATTAAATATGGATGCTTGGTATTTAATGTATTATGTTTGATTAATATTTTGATTTGTCTAGAATTAATTTTGAATATGAACTTGGCTCAAGCAAAAATTTTGTTGCTAAACCAAAGATAAATATTTTATTATAGTCTAAATAAAATTGTAAATAATTTTTTTAGAAAATAAAAAACATAGAGTGTCATAAACTATTTTAAAAAACATTAAATAAGAGTTTTTATAATTATAATTATTACATTTTATAACAAATTGTGCAAAATTAAAAAAAAAATTCACTATTGTGATGATCGCGATAACTACAATGATTTTTGTTATATCTAAAAATGTTATTAATGCAATGCAATCGAAAACGTGATCACGACTGTTATTTAAATCTCTAGTCAGAACCGTACAAATGAATGGACATGAGATTTTCTTACATGAACCTTTCGCATTCGATAACACTCAATAATAAGGTTTGTTTCAAATAAAGACCATGTAATGTTCATTTGAACATGCATACTGTTTAAAGGCTCTGCCCTTCAAGTTTAATGTCTGGCTTTGTTTTCTTCAAGAAAAGGAAAAATTGTTCCTATGGCGAGAAACACGTTCTAGGTTTTCGGTTATATTGTTGATAGTATATCTTAAGTCGTTTCTTCTTGTTCTTCCTTTTCCCTTTGTTTGGTTTGATAACTTTGTTAATGCTTAAACCACAGGGATCAATTGATTATTGGCTTTTGTTTTGATGAATTCTTTTTGGCACTCTCTGATCAATACAGCTTTTGATTGTCATGTTCATTGTAGATTGTTGTGATATTGTATTTTGGACTAGTCCATAGCTGTATACAAAGTAAATCATGAAAAATGATCTTGATGCATTCAGCAAGCAATTTGTGTATTTCTGAATTCATACTTGAATTGCGGAATGGCTTTTTGCCAGCATGTCGGAGGCTATATATTCAATTATCAGATGTCTAACAGATCTATGCTCCATATGTTAGTTTCAAAGAATATCATTTTAAATTTCTTGTTCAACTAAGTACGAAGGTGTCCATACACACACGCACACACACAAACATGTACAAAAACATGTGGTAAATGAATGAGGTTAGGTATCAGGATTGGGCCGATTGGCTGCTGGCATGTGTGACAGCAGGCGGTTCTAGGATTCAGGGCAAGAAAGAAAGGTGATTAAATATATTTTATATATGTTGTACCTTTTCCATCTATACCTATCAAAAAATCTTCCTCTCACCCTAGTTTGTGAACCACAATGATCCAAGGAATCAAGCAGAAGCTTTATCTCATGTGCTTACAGCATTTAGTCATACAATTATGTAGAAAAACTTGGATTGTAGATCTTGTTTGTTTTTAAGATGAGAATAAGAACTCAACTGCAATGGTATTGTAATGTGAATAAAGAGTATTCGACATCTTACTAATATGAGAAGTTTGGTATACTCATCGTCCTCGAATTTTAATATACACGATTGAGTTTATAAACTGTAAATTACCAATTAACATTTTGGTTC